TTAAAAAATAATTAAGCTTCTCTTGGTGTTCTTTGCTGTGGGTCAGGGCTTTACTTGCTTTGCCATCCAACACAGAAGTTAATCACAAACGGGTCCTCTGAACCAAATAATTAAAAATAGAGCAAAGTTTCTGAACCAGGCAGTTGGCAAAAAAGTCTGTACTTCCATCTGTGCATGGTTAGGAAAATATTTCGTGATATTTAAATAGCATCGGCTTTGCTCTCTTTTGTGTGAGAGTGTATCTGTCTGACTGCGTGTAATTCATTGCTCTGAAGATTTGTTTGACTGTTAGCTAATCTTATATTTTAAAAAAGTCACTGGCAAGGAAACAGGAAAGCAAATCCAGGTGTTTTGCGCATACATTCTTTATCAGTTTCTGTGAAGGAGGAATAGTTTTGCTTTTGCTTTTCTCTTTAATGAAAATCTTTCTCTTAGCATGCGCCTCAGAAAATTAAAGAACGTAACATTTTGACATTGAAATCTTTATGTCTTTTGATTGCCTACGTACAAATAACCTCTGCTCCTGACTTTTAGGATTTGCTCTTAGGCATATGAAATGCTGGTGAATCTCTTTCAATTCAGAATTAGGATTTTCTGCTCTCTGGAAGGGGTATTTATGCCTGGAATATACATCAAACTCAAAAACACTTTGACATAACTATAGACCTGTGAGTAACTGATTTTGAGAGACATTTAATCCTTCAACGTGGATTTTCCTTTGTTCTTACAAATAATCTGTAGCTCATCAAATATGTTCAGTTTTGGCCAGTTCTGCAGCTATGATATGACTTTAAAAATATATTTTTTGCTTATAAAGTTTTAATTGCTTTATAATATAAAGATTATTTCCCTATGGTATTTTTCTATTGCAACTATCTCTTTTTATCCCTGGAAAAATCTTATTTTTTTAGGTTGATTTTCTTTTCTCCCAAGAGAGTCATTGTATTAAATAACAACTAATGCTCAATAAATAACACCAAAGGGAGATCAGCAATTATTAAAGGTTAAAAAAAAAAAAAGGAAATTTTATTCCTTTGGCTCTAAAACATACTTATTTCTCACAGTCTCCAGTTTCTTTATGCTTCTAGAAATTTAGCGTTTAGGTATATTTTTAATACTATGAAAATAGAATTAAACACTGAAGTTAAGAGCTGTGGATTGACCTTATTCACGTTAATTGAAATTAAGGAAGAATTAATATCTTTAATACATTTTATTATTATTATAGCACAGAATTCTTGAGTTTAGCTATGGAAATCAAATACAGTCAGTGATAGTCTCATCATGTAAGCTGTTTGTCATTCATGATGCTTAAGAGACCATACGCATCTTTTTGTCCAACTTGCTCATTTTACATTCAACTAAATTTGTTCACTTCTTATAAACCTACTCTGTGCAAGGCATTATGCTAGGGGGAACAATAAAGTCGAATAAGTTGTCTATGGTTTCAAACAAATTAGTCGTTGCTTTCCTTTTCAGTATTACTTCGGTGGGCGGCGGAGGGGGGACAGCTTTTAAAAAGATATACATGGACTTAGCTAATTGTTATTCTTTCTCAGTGTAAGGTATTAGGATTTAACATTTTTTGTGAACCCTGAATACACATCAAGGTGAATGGTAGATGTCTTTAAACTTTAAAATTAATGCTGGTTTGATTGTCTCTTACATGAGACAGCTAACATTGTTAATATTAATTAGGCTTCTCTGAATATGCAGGTTCTTCACACTTTTCTTGTGGGACTGTTAAATTTTTTTCTCTCATTCATTTGGGCATCTTCTTGAAAGTAGCATGTGGAATTCAGTTAAAAAACAAACAAACCTGCATTTGATTGTTGATATCTTTATTCCATAAATCATTCAGTTAACAAATATTTATTTACTGGATTTATGATCAGAAACACAAGGAACAATGTACACACTCAAGAAAGCTCATTGTACAGAGAACCTATTTTAATAATAACAATAACTGGCTGGCATATCGAGGATTTAGGATGTGTCAGTCACTGTGCTAATCACTTAATCGGCACAGTAAAACTAGATAGGTAGTTATTATCTCTAATTTACAGATAAAGTAACTGGATTAGTTGCTTGCCCAAGGTCACAGAACTAGTAAGTTGTAGGACTGGGATTTAACTCATATCATTTTAACTTCAGACCCTCCTCTCTCAACTGATTATACTTTATTGCTTACCACCCATGCCATTGTGGGACTTGCCAAATTGTTTCCGTAAATCTTGAGTATATACAAAAGCACAGTCTAAAAACTAAAGTAAATTATAAAGAATAAAGAATTCAGTGAGCACTCAAGTAACTTTCCACCCAGTTTTAAAAATTACCATGAATTTGATGTCCTCTAAATGGGGCCCTCCCCCATCTTGTCACCATTCTTTCCACCTTAGATGTAACCACTCAAGAAAAATGATGTTTTAAAATATTTTTAACAAAAGTGCGCAGAAATGCACCCCAGCCAGATGATTATTTTGTTTCCCTTCCTTTTTCTCGTCTCTCCTCTGCTTCGTCATCTCTCTTACTTCTTCTCCCTTTTTCTTGCCATTGTGGACCATAAAGAGGAACTGAGACAGAACCTGCATAAAAAGGTTGGGGAGAGCGTTCTCTGCTGCGATGTCAGGCCTAAGTGCCATGAGTGCCATGACCAATGTTGGGAATTCTTGATGAGGTTATGGTTCAGTGCATTCACAACCTCCATCCCCTCCCAATAAAGACTTCTGTGGAGGGACTGTAACAAGTAGACCACCCAAGGGGGTGATTTAATATGACTATACTGACATGGCTCTCAAAAGCTTATTGGGTCATAATTCACAAGTATTAGTCCTATGGACACGTGGTTCCTTAATAATGTGACTCTTAAGATAGTGATACATTTTTGGTAACCAATGTGAGGGTACTTCATAACACAAAACCACTGCGTGGAACATGTTAAGATAATATAACTTGTCCTTTATTGCTTTAATGCAGTCTTTCAACTAGTAGTAATACCTGGTACAGTATGTAAAAATCAAAATGGGTCTGGCCTGGTAAGAGTAATAGAATTCTTTCATTAGCTGGAAAATATATTCTAACCATTAATTACATTTAAAAAAATAAGCAAGGAGGTTTTTGAGTTTTGTTTGTATATTGTACTCTGTTGCATGAAAATTTTCCCTAGGACCATACAATTCTGTAGGAGGAGGTGGCAATTTAATGCAGTCTTAGCTACTACAGATTTAAAACTGTTACTTTTAAGTTATTCCTATGGAATTACAAAAATATGTAATGCATTTTAAAAGATTAAAAAAGAACCACATCTAGCCAGACATAAAAGTGCTGATAAAGACACATGCATATATCCGTATGTAGTCATTTGCTCATACACGCTTACATATGTATTTATTTTATGAACGTTTTTCTAACACTGCATGGGTTTGTATGTGTAATGTAGTATATGCCCTTTACAGAGCTAGTATTAGGAGAACCTTTTATGAACCAACTGTATAATTTGGAGCGTGATCAAATATAGTGATATTTCCAAAGATCATGATTTTGGCCTGTAATAATAAGCAGTTTAATAATGAGGTTGAAGTGTAAGTGTGTGTCTGTCGATCTTTATCTTCTATTTCTTATCTTTTTGCTTAGTGAAAAGTCTACATTGAAAGATACCAATGTGCCTATTAATAAGTTTCAAATATGAAAAAAAGAGCTACATATGACACTTTGTTACAGTTTTATACATTGTCTCAAAAACATGCTGTAAAAATATGGAACTAGAAAAATCTTGGCAAATGTAGCCTCAGAGTGTAGCTGATTTAAAAGCTGCATTTGAATCTTCTAAGTACTGTTCTGTGACAGCTATTACTATAGGAATTGGCACCAGCTAAGAAAATTTACATTTTAATACTTTAGAGCAAATAATTGCTTAGGATGCTTTAAATAGCACAGGAAATGTGTAGAGTGTTTACTTGACATTTGTTATATCGAACACTAATACTGAAACAGATTCTTTGACCACAGAGAATGCCAGTGTAGGTGGGGTGGGGGCAGACGGGAGAAAGAGACAGACAAAAAACAGCCAGCACAATTAGATAAAAATTAAATGGCAAATGAGCTTTTTCATGATATAGAGATATCAGGAAAAAAAAAAAAAAGCTCATTTGTTCGATCAAGTCGTCTTCGAGTGTGGCAGAAGAAAGCAAAGTAAAACAACTCCTTGGCATAAGGTTTCTCCTGGTTTTAAGACACTTACTTAGTTTCAAGGCTGTCTTTACCAGGGATCAAAACTTCCCAGACTTGCCATTATGTTTTTTTTTTTTTTTTTTTTTTAAGGTTCTGAAATCAAGAAGAATGACCTCCCTTTTTATAAAAAGAAAAAAAAAAAACCCTCTTGTTATCTGTTTAATCTGTACATGCTTGTGAATTATTTTTAAAAAAAAATTTTTTTTTTAATGACTGCTCTGGTGCCCTCATTTCTCAGTGCAGCTCTGTACTTGTGATGTTTTTTCCTGTGAATGCATCATGCATTCCCTGAGTCTTC